CCAGAGAGCTAGGATTACAGGTGTGAGCCACCGCGCCTGGCCAAGGATCTTATTTTTTTTTTATTTCAGCATATTATGGGGGTACAGATGTTTAGGTTACGTATGTTGCCCTTCCCCCCCCTCCCCAAGTCCGAGTTTAGTAGAGATGGGGTCTCGCTCTTGCTCAGGCTGGTTTCGAACTCCTGAGCTCAAACAATCCGCCCGCCTTGGCCTCCCAGAGAGCTACGATTACAGGCGTGAGCCACCGCGCCTGGCCAAGGATCTTATTTTTTTTTTATTTCAGCATATTATGGGGGTACAGATGTTTAGGTTACGTATGTTGCCCTTTCCCCCCCCTCCCCAAGTCCGAGTTTCAAATATGTCCATCTTTCGGGTGGTGTGCATTGCACTCTGTGTATGCAAATACCTGTCCCCTCCTCCCTCTTCCCCCCTCTCCCCCAAGGATCTTATTTTTAACAAAGATTTTTTTTTTTTTTTTTTTAAAGAGAATTCTTACGGGGAGGTTAGGGAGATGTTAGTTAAAGCATACAAAGTTTCAGTTCTAGACAGAAGGAATGAGTTCAAGATATCTATTGTACAACATGATGATTGTAGTTAATAACAATGTACCATATTTTGAAAACTGCTGAGAGAGTAGATTTTAAGTGTTCTCACCACAAAAAAATGTGTGAGGTAATGCATATGTTAATTAGCTTGATTGAGCCATTCCACAATATGTACATATTTTAAAACATTCTGGTTGTATGTGATAAATATGTACCATTCTTATTTGTTGATTAAAAAATACTGTAATGTTAAAAAAGCTAATCGTAGTCATTATCAACAATCAGATGGAAGTTGTGTATTCAGTATTCATTGATTGAGTCTACAGCCATACCACCCTGAACATACCTGATCTCAGCTGATCTAGAAAGCTAAGCAGGGTCGGGTCTAGTTAGTACTTGATTGGACACTGCTTGGGAATACTGGGTGCTATAGGCTTTCAAAAAAATTCCTTGACTGAGAAAATACTAAATGACAAGCTACTGTGAATTCAGAAACACTGACATGAAATTTGGTTTTATTTTACCAGCATTTACATGTACTCAAAAAATCTTAGACATTTGTTCAGTCTGTATTTAGAGCAGGAAAGAGAGTGGTCTTCAGAAAGTTGGGTGTGTTTGATGGATTCAGACTTGGCAGAAACTCCTGTGGACCCCAGGGCCCCTTAGCTCACAGATGACTGGAAATGACTTCTGTGATATATAGGACATATGTGCGAGGGATTATTATCATAATTACATAGGACCACATGTTGTAATAGTATTTAGCTTAAATGGCATTCTGCCTACACCAGGTGAATGTTTGAAACTATTTTCCCAATGTACTTATTAAGCCTTTTCTCATTTATCACTGCAACTTAGGAAACGGTGGTCCATTTAGAAACTATATCCAAATGTCTTATTAGTCATTTAAAGCTATTACTATCACTATGTAGCCCTGAATTATGCAACTATTATTGCCAAAACAATGTAATCCCTATCTGTTGATGCATACCTTTTTGGAATTATTATTTTACCTGATAAATTATTGAATTTTGTATCCTATACCCTCTGAAGTATGTGTTCAAAGAGCTTTGATATATAGAGAGTGTGGTTAAAGCTTTGAGTTGTTCCACTTGAGTTTCATGTTTAATTTTCAGAATGGAGGTAAATTTGGTAGTCACACTAATAGCTCTTGTTTTTGTAACTTCCTGGAATCACAGACAGAAAGTTTATTTACATTTCGCGAGTGGAATTTTATAGTCTTCCTCTGCTCGTAATTTTGTTAACATTTTTCAGGAAGAATGATTTTAAAATGAAATCTGAAATTAGCTACATTCTACTGACTTGGGATTAATTCTGGACAGATCACTGGCTAAAGTAATATTGATTGATTGATTGATGGAGACAGAGTCTGGCTCTGTCACCCAGGGTAGAGTATAATGGCTCTATCATAGCTCACTATAACTTGGAACTCTTCTTTGAGCCTTTTCCCAGGAGTTTGAAGTTACAGTGAGCTATGACAGAACCTCAGCCTCCCTAGTAGTTAGAACTACAGATGTACACTATCGTGCTTGGTTAATTTTTCTTATTATTTGTAGAGATGAGGTCTTGCTATGTTTCCCAGGCTGGTCTTGAACTCCTGGCCTCAAGTGATCCTCCCGCCTCAGCCTCCTAAAGTACTGGGATTACAGAAATGAGCCATCACGTCCAGCCTGGAGCTTTTATTTCTTAAGTTTAATAGTCATTTCATTTCTTCTGAGTTGTCTGTTTATTACCTGTACTCATTTTTCTGTAAAAATTAATGATTTTCTTATCAGTTTGTAAGAGAGTTCTTTCTATTAGGGTCTAATCTTTTGTCAAGGTGTTTTTTTGTTTGTTTTTAGGATTAGCTAATAGCTATAAAATATAATCATCAATCCAGTTTTTCGGTATCAAATAGCCTGTGAGTTTTTTTCCCTAAGGCCTGATTATATGCTGACTGGTCATAAATCTAATTAATTTAGTTTT